ATATTTTGATAACTTATTTGTGACACTGGCATGCAGGTCACTAATTGGAGCGGGATCCAGAGGACGCGCCAAGAAACTCAGGGAAAAACCATGCCATTTCAGGCGCGGATCAAGGATTTTCCATAGGGGGGGGGGGGGGGGGGGGGGGGGGGGGGGGGGGGGGGGGGGGGGGGGGGGGCCGGAAATTAGAAAATTGCGCAGACCGTTTTTCAACTCAACATACCAATACTGACAAGGTCATATTAGAAGCACCATACCCGTATTTTTTTTTTGACATTTTCATCATTTTTTGACATTTTCATCTTGCCCGAAAAAGTAATTTTCTGGTTTCACAATTCGGCTAGTGAGCGAAGCGAGCGAGCAAAAATTTGAGGATAATATGTATTTTGTGAAAGTGTTATTTATCACCAAAACACGAGAAAAGATATAACAAATTCATATTCGGGCAGCTCGCTGTTCCCCCCCCCCCCCCCCCCCCCCCCCCCCCATTACGCGCGAATCGCATAATCTTTAATGTTTCATGAAATTATTAGAGAAAGAAGAGGATTCGTTGTACCATTCTCGACTCCTAATCCTTGTCTGAATTTAGTTCCTCCCCCTCCCCCCCCCCCCCCTCCCGCGCAAAGCGCGGAAGTTTTGACCTTTCATTAGTTGATATTAAAGAAAGAAGACGATTTGTTGCCCATTCTCGACTCTTATTCCTTGTCTGAATTCAGTTTTCCCCCTCCCGCGCGAAGCGCTGAAGCATTGAGCTTTCATAGTTTAATGAAATTATTAGAGAAAGAAGATAATTCGTTGTTCCATTCTCGACCCTCAATCCTTCTCTGAATTCAGATTCCCCCCTAAAGCGCAAAGCGCAGAAGCTTAACGTTTCATTACATTATTAGAGAAAGAAGACGATTCGTTGTACCGTTCTCGATTCTTAATCATTGTCTGAATTCAGTTTCCATACCCCCTCCTGCGCGAAGCGCGGAAGCTTTGACGTTTCATTAAATCATTAGAGAAAGAGTACCGTTCTCGACTCTTAATCCTTGTCTGAATTGAGTTCCCCCCCCCCCCCTCTCCCGCGCGAAGCGCGGAAGCTTTGACGTTTCATTAAATTATTAGAGAAAGAAGACGATTCGTTGTACCGTTCTCGGTTGTTAATCATTGTCTGAATTCAGTTTCCCCCCTTCGCGCGAGGCGCGGAAGCTTTGACGTTTCATTGAATTATTAGAGAAAGAAGATGATTCGTTGTGCCATTCTTGACTCTAAAACCTTGTCTGAATTCAGTTTTCCTCCTCCCGCGCGTAGCGCGTAAGCTTCTGACGCTTCATTAAATTATGAGAGAGAGAAGATGATTCGTTGTCCCATTCTCGATTCTTAATCCTTGTTTGAATTCATTTTCCCCCTTCCGCGTGAGGCGCGGAAGCTTTGACCTTTCATAGTTTAATAAAATTATTAGAGAAAGAAGTCAATTCGTTGTTCCATTCCCGACTTTTAATCCTTCTCTGAATTCAGTTTCCCCCTCCAGCGCAAAGCGCAGAAGCTTACGTTTCATTAAATTATTAGAGAAAGAAGATGATTTGTTGTACCGTTTTAGACTTGTCAAAAATGTTTCTTTGTCTGCTCCTTTTTTCGTCCTATGTCTTCTTACTGCCCCTACCGCCCCTAGCTAGCTATGCATGCTTTAAAGGGAAAGTGAAACAATCATGATTGTGATAGCATACAATTAGGTCAGTAGAAATGAAAGGGGAAAAAAAGATCTATTTATACACCAACCATGAAATAATCGCGACCGGGAGCGTCATATCTTAGTTTTGTGTAATCGGGCGAGGGCCGGGGCGTAGCGACCAAGCGAGATTTTGCAATGTAGAATGCTGAAAATTATGCATTCTAGAAAATCTATTATTCCAATATGTACGTTCTTTCCGCTAAATGTATATTTCTTTCTAGCTATATATCTAAATTTCCGGGGGGACGTGTCCCTCTATCGGGCCCAGGATCGCCGCCGCTGTCCATTATCACTACCAACATGAGTTCAAATATAAGCACAAACGAGTTGGTATGAGCTGAATCCAAATGAACGGCAAAATAAGAGTTGTGAAGCGGCCCTACCGTTAATTTAAAATTTGACTGTTTAGTATATTATAGCTTCTATTTGAAAGACATCCAAAATATTGTGCCCTTTTCAATTTTTTTCAAAAAGCAGGGGCTGTTTGTAACGTTTAACTTTGAATCCGTGGCTCGAGATTTTATGCGGCCGGCCCGGCCCCCTCTATTCAATAACGTTTCCCAAGCCTTCTGGAATGACCCCAAATCTCCCGTTTACAGTTTTGCCCTTATTCGTCGTTACTGTCACTTAGCGCCATTTCCTTGTCTTTCCCCCTTTCTCACCCGACTTTTCTCTTACCCCCCCCCCCCCCCACCCACTCAGTGTTATATAGGGTACGCGCATGTATGTTCCCTCTCTTAGTTTGAAAGCACCCCTTTATCTTCGGTGTGTAAAGTCAGTGCGGGCCGGATTTGTGTGTATTACGGACCGGAATTTGTTGCGTGATAAGTAACCCTTTATCGGAAATTTTGGGAACACAAAATCGGTCCCTCCGACCCCGGAGTGGGAGTGAGGTGGGAGGGGGGGGGGGGGGTATCTTCTTCTTTTTTTTTCTTTCTCTCTCTCTCTCTCTCTCTCTCTTCTTTCTTTTCTCTTCTCTTTTCTTTTCTCCTCTCCTTTCTTTTCTCTTCTCCTTTTTTTCTTCTCTTCTCCTTTCTTTTTTTTTTTTTTTTTTTGCGCCGCCAATAGGCTGGGCCGCGGCCGTTTCGGCCCCCCTGGATCCGCCACTGCATTTCAGCCACATTTGTAAATCACTGGTATCAAATAAGAAGTAAATCACGATTGAAGTTCATTGTGGGGGGGGGGGGCTGCCCCCAAAGCCCCCCCCCCTCCCCCATCAGTACGCAGGTTCGATCGAGGGAGCAATAGTGAATGAGAGGGGTGAAGGTGACGGAATTGACTACCCCCTCACAGGTTTTTGAAGTGTTGTTGTATTAACAAATTACAGTCCTTGTAGTCCTTGTAACTGTAGTATAAAAACAAGCAATATACTTTTTTCACACTTCACTTTCCTCGGTATTCACTTGTACATTTTGAAGGATATTATACAAGGGAGCGTAGCTACCGAGTGAGAAGATTTTTGCATTTTTATTTGTCTTAACGCTGCACTCTTAGGCCCTCCAGAGCCTAAATGTGTGTTGTAGTCTGTAGTCTGGATCGCCACCCCTGACCACAAGGCAGTGGTTACAACTGGCAATAAAAACTAACATTTATCAAAAGAATGAGGTGATTACAATTACTCTTATGTTGTTTTAAGTTATGAGTACTAATTGAGCACAATAACAAAAAACAGAAAGAAAAAAGAAAAGAAAAGAAAACCGTGCCACCGTGACAGCATTGAGGTCGATTGACGATATGGAACTCCCGACATCCTTCGACCAGTCACTGCAGGGTCTAGTGGTTCACACCCGTCCTGGCTTGTCCTCCCTGATGTGAAACTGCCACCATGCAAAGGTATAGGTAAGTACCGGTAGCTCTTGTAAGTTACTAACGGCACTCTCTCTGAAAATGTAAGGGAACGTCAAAGCTTCGGCGCTTCGCGCAGGAGGGGGGGGGAATTAATTCAGATAAGGATTAAGAGACGAGAACGCTACACCGAACGTCTTCTTTCTCTAATACTTTAATGAAACGTCAAGCTTCCGCGGGAGGGGTGTGTGTGTGTGTTATTGGTTTTTACAGACGTGTGTCAATCAGATATGATTATTTACGTCTGGGGACCGACCTTTAAACGTCACCATCCGAAAGACGTGACCCAGTTTCGAGCCTGAGCCTCGGCCTGAATCATTATGCAACTTCCACAGTTAGCTGGATTACAGGCGCACGCCACAAGTACGCCTAGTCGAAACTGAACGGTACAACGAATCGTCTTCTTTCTATAATAATTTAATGGAACATCAAAGCCGTCAAAACTTCCGTGCTTCGCGCGGAAGGGGGGGGGGGGGGGGACTGAATTTAGACAAGGATTAAAAGTCGAGAACAGTACAACGAATCATCTTCTTTCTCTAATAATTTAAGGAAACCTCAAAGCTTCCGCGCTTTGCGCGGGAAGAGGGGGGAGGGGAGGCGGGGGGAACTGAATTTAGATAAGGATTAAAAGAAGAGAATAAATAATCGTATCTTTATGTCGTCGAGGAAAATGACCTTGTGTACATACGCAAGTACTATAGATAGTTCATAGGAAAAAAAATTTAGCCTTCGGCCCCGGGTTTATAGGGTTAAATTCATATAAATTGGTAATCGGTGGCTAGTTTTTTTTTGGTAATCGTTTGCCTCTGCACCCCCACTGAAAAATGTGTAGCGACGCCACTGTCTGCACACATATGATTTTCGGTGTCACGAGCATCGGTCAATTGAGCTGTAGCACCATAGTCCATTATATTCTGTAAGCAAGATACACACGTTCCATTTGATCTAGAGGAATAAGCCATTTTGGAGAGAGCACTTGTACAAATATAATGACCCCAAAATATCCACAGGTTATATGGAGATGTCCCACTTTGTGCAAAACGCGACGTAAAAAATATTTCGAACGCCAATATTTCGTGACTAGAGAGAGAGAGAGAGGGAGAGAGGGAGAGAGAGAGAGAGAGAGTGAGAGAGGGGGAATATGGAACGAGCGAGAGGGAATGAGAGAGGGTAGAACACGAATGAGAGAGGGGCATATGAGAGAGAGAAATCAAGTGGATAATAAGATAATATTTTCTAAAACAAAATGAAATGAATTTAGTTGCAAATGGAAATGGGAATTTATTAAGCGTAGACAGAGAAAGAGAGAGAGGGTGTAGGTGTATGAGTATAGGTGGAGGGAGAGAATAGAGAGAGGTTCAATGAATTCTGGCAGTGACCTAATAATTGAAAAGTAAAATACATGTATTATGCGTCATTCGTTCCATCGCGTGCATGCTACGTTAATCAATCCGTTGGTATAAATTCTCTTTCACTATCGGCAGTCATAGCGAGAAGTAGCTGAATACATGCTAGCTATCATCGGAACTGGAACTTCAGCCTCATAAATACTCCGCTTATATACTCGTAAGTACCGTCATATACAGTAATTATTTACCACATACTATTCGATATATTTACTATTTACTTTCTATGCAATATATTAGCGCTCTTTATGCATTGTGGTAAATTTACAATCACAAATTTGATATAATTACTGTGTTTATACTTTGTGATGAATTTGCGCTCTAATATTCGATAGATTTAATTTCTACATACTATTCAATAGATTCACTGTGTATATACTTTGTGTTAAATTTACACTCCTATTTTTGATACGTTTACTCTTTCAGACTTTGTGGTAAATTTATGCTCTAGTATTCAATATATTTACTGTATATACTACTCAATGGAATTTCTCACTACATACCATTTGCATATATTTACTCTGTGCATACAATGTGATGGAAATACTCTCTACGTAGGCCTACTATTCGATAGATTCACTGTATGCATACCATTCAATGGACATACTGATCTCTAAATACTAATTGATAGTTTTACTTTCTACATACTACATACTACGTTAAAAGATGGGAGTTGTTGCTACCTTGTTTGGCGTTCAACAATAAGGGATAGAGCAACGTCGATCTGACGCTGCTCAGTGGCTGCCGGGCTCACGATCAATTGGGCAAAAAGAATTTCCGTTTCGGTTTAATAACATTTGGAGTGGACTATTAGGCTATTATTATTATTATTATTATACTCAATAGATTTACTCTCTACATACTACTCAATGTATTTACTATATATGTGCATACAATGTGATGGATTTACTCTCTACATATTATTCACAGCAGTTGAATTTCCTATCAACCATCAATTAAACATGATAATTTCATACTGTTAATTCAATTTTAAATTTTGATAGTTTTCGACGGAATGATTTGACAAGGAGGTCCTTCTGTTACGAACCTATACCAACTGTGTATATGTAATGAATTTGAAGAATGATTGATAGGAAACCCACATCTTGTGAAAGTACTTAATAATAGGTAATAATAATTCATATCATTACTCTGTGATTTTTTTGTATATGAAATGTCAGGATATATAAGTACTTAGAACACTCTCGTACTTCAGTGAACTTGGTAGAAATGAGTGGGAGATAACCAGGAAAAACTGTGACAAATCCATCAATAGCGACTTTTGATATGTGTTTATTTAACTTTATTTACAACCACAGGTGCAGGTGTTCCCCTTACTTGTATATGGATAGTGCAGTGCAGTGGGTTAATGTTCTTACCATGTAATTAAAGGTGGCGGCCCCTTTTGCACGGGGCATCAATTAACGTCCTACCCGGGGGGTAAAATAATCATGAATAATAAATATAATCATCAAATGATTAATCGACAATACGGAGGTGAAACGAAATGAGCGTTAGTAGAATTGGCCATTAGACTAATTGGTTATTAGACTAAATGAAAAATAATTTTAAATGGGCAGTAGAAAAGTAGGCGAAATGATCAATAGACAACATGGATAGTAAACGGGCAAACGGCAATTTACAAAGTTAACCAAGCCTTGATGCGTCTATGAGAAATGGGGAGGCTAACGTTACAAAATATTTGTGATCTAATGCAAAGAACAGTTTTTTGTGTAAGCATAGATTGGTTCCTCAATGCCAAGTGCGCAGCTACATGTTTGTCATGGTTGCATAGACAAACATAACAAGCCAACAAAATCGAGAATTTGTGTTATTTATGAGAAAGGAAAGAATTTCGATAGGGACTCCTGGCAACAATAATATGTGGTGAGCGTGTTTGCCTTTCATACTTCTACTCGTGACGTAGTTCCATTCAAATTCATTCTTCCCGTTTCTCTCTCTTTTTGATTTATTTTCTTATTTTATTTTCTCTGTCAAAGTCTTACATTCTACTTTTTATTATTCTTGTCTACACCCTCTCTAGCTTTATCTTCAACTCTCTTGCTCAAAAACATTAGAATACGCCTTTGCAGCTCCTGATTCCTTACTACCCTCTCTTTCTATCTTTTTCCTGCTTTTTGTTCCTCTTCTTTTTTTTCCCATTTTTTTTCTCTCACTCGCTCTAGCTGTCAATATCTCTCTCTCTCTCTCTCTCTCTCTCTCTCTCTCTATTCTCGTTGACTGGAGGAAGTTACGGTATCGTTATTTATATCAGTTTTACACGATGGCAACTATTTCCCCCAAAATCAACTTAAGGCTGATTTCAATACCCTATTGTATTTCCTATAGAAATTCTGTTCGTATATGTTACATACTACGTCATTGCCATACTAGCACGTTTCAATAGGCGACACGCAAGTCGATCAATTGATATACATTCCATAATTGTCTCTTTCTTCAAACGTTTGCCTCTGATTATCTGATTGTCTGCTTTCATTCAAATCAACTTATCACAAGGTTTCGGTTTGCCCTTAAGCACCATTCTGGCTCTCAGCATATTAATATCATGTTCATGACTATGATGTATTTTTACACTAATGGGAAACAAATTTATGTATCATTACATATGGACAATTAAACTTGAAGTGTCGTGGTCGAGTGGATATGTCAGCGGACTGTGGATCACAAGGTCCGCGGTTCAAGTCCCACCGCGGCACTAATGTCCTTTGGCAAGACATTGATCTACATTTGCCACTCTCCACCCAGGTGTTAAACGGGTACCCGGTAGGAAAGCTAATGTAGTTTGATTAGCAATGGCGCTTGTAAAATGGCGACTAGCTTGAATGCTCCCCAGGGAGTGGATAATGTGCATACCTTGTGTGCGGGTGTAAGCATGAATCCGATGACCGGGGTAATAATAATCTGTAAAGCGCATTGAGAGGGCCCTGCGGTCCTGAAATGCGCTATATAAGGACGAACTATTATTATCATTGATTCTTGAACTCCTTCACATTTACTGGTGATGAAAAAAGAAAGACTGTATAACAATGTGTTAAAAGATAAAGTAGCCATCTGTTTATGCAATTGCACCATATGAAAGAAAACTGAAAGCGTTTGGACAATGTTAAGTATTTAGCACATAGGCCTACATGACATATTAGTTGGTGTATTCTGTGAGGTTTTTGTATCAGGCAACTGATAAGACATTATTCTAATCTTGCAGAAAGTTACCAGCCTGCACTTTGCTAAGAATATTGTGCTCTTAGCTCCTCAGTTATATATTGCTATATTTCGAATATGAATAAATTGAATAATACTTTCATTAACGACTATTCCAATTCGAATTTTCCTGCGGTTAGAGAAGGAGACAGTATCATCTTTTACCATAAGTCGATATTGTAAAAATGTTAATTTCGCTTTTCATACTTTCTTTCTATTTTAAAGGTATACCCAGCCTTTCTGAACATGCAGCCTGTTACTATCATGGAGAATAGACCCTCGGTAAGTTTAAACAAAACAGTACAGAATTTCTTCTAGTGAAATATGCAACTTTATTGATCGTGTATTGCGGTATTCCAAATCTAGTATGGACTTTTATAAATCGAATACACTAGTGGCGGAGTTACAAATTGAACAGAAAGTAATTTTCTTGTTTTTCATACATTAATATTAGCCGATAAATCAATCAGACATTGGGGTCCAGACGTATGGAATTCTTTACCTAACAATATTCAAAATATAAAATCACCAAACTCCTTTAAAAGAGCACTCTGTTGTTTTATTAGTTCACAGATGTAAGATAATACTTACATATTTATAAATCTACATATCACTTCTTATTATATCGAACATATATTTAATTATTTAATGATCTATAAGACAATTTTACTAGACTTAACAATATTACTCTTTTTTATTTTTGTATTCTTGTTCTTTATAAATAGTGTAAATAGTTCACAACCCTTTAAGAGTTTTATTTGTCATACATTATATATTTGAAAGGTGTTGTAATGAGTCAAGCTCTATGCTTATGTTTCATCACCTTTGTGTGTTCATTCTTTAAATTTTATAATAACTTGTCTTTGATAAAACATTGTTATATTCCTTTCATGTGAAGTCAATTCAAATGGATTGTAAAATTGAAAACAATTCGTTATGTTATATTCTTTTTCATGTGATGTTAACTCCAATGAATTGTGAAATTATGAACATGCATGCATAAATAAATAAATATAGACATACGCAAGGAGAAACTTGAATTCCACCATAAATCTACAATACATGTTCCCATTTCTTTTACAACTCGGGAAATGATAATTGATTCATGAGAATGATACATCCGAACATTGTAATGACGTAAGAAAAGGCCCTCTCGTACGGTAAGTCCCGGGTTCGAACCTTGCGTGCTGCTTACATCCTTGAACAGAGTGTGTTGCCTTGAACATTTGTCTCTCTCGACCCAGATGTATGAAACTGAACCTAGCAATGCCGGGGTTATAATAATTATAGGACCCGGATGCGGGATGAGCAGCAAAATACTGATGCGATGTACTCTGGGTAAATAGGCCCAAATCCTTAGTTAATAGGGACTTTTAGATTTGCACGACGGAGAACGTGGACTGCCCTTTTAATGCAATGTGACGTCCTTTTAAGGCACTGGCAGTGACGTCACATTGCCTTAAAAGGGCAGTCCACGTTCTCCGTCGTGCAAATCTAAATGTCCCTAATGCCTATAATATCTCAGGAACCTATCAGTAATTATCAGAAAGTATGCTGGTGTACTTCATACTTCTTTATTTAACTCATTGCCTACTGGAACCAGTATTAAGCCTATGGCAGTGAAATAATTGACTACTCAGCGGGTTAATGGGGCCCAATCGGAATGAATGAATTATGATAATTTTGATGAAAACCATCTCGTTGCAAAATAAACGTCATAGAAGAGAAAGGGGAAAAGGGAGACAGAGAGATCGAGAAAGAGAGAGAAAGAGACAGGCAGACAAAGAGAGACAGGGAGACAGAGAGAGAGAGAGAGAGAGAGAGCCAGAGAGAGAGAGAGAGAGAGAGGTGAAGAGAGAGGGGGGGTGAGATTATAGAACTGTCGCATTCGATGCATTTACAACCCAAGGAAGTGTTCTTTTTTCAACTGCAGACAATAATAAAAAGGGGTATAAAGTAACACCTGGCTAAACACACGATATTTGTTCTCTCTACACTTATTTCTTTGTAATTTTTTTATTAGCGGGCTGGCTATTCTGAAAACTACAGTGCAGGTGCCGCCACCTGTACAGCGGTGTTTATGATTGTATACGCCATAGGTTCGGCAGTGTGTGGAGCCATTATCTTCGTCCCACATTTTGGAGTACATTCTTCACCCCTCCAGGACTTCGTCTACCCGATTATCGCTTTCGCTCAAGGTGGTGTAAGTTTGAGAGCTACATAATGTTATTTCTAACAGAAAAAGCTAAAGTTGAGTTCTGGTCATGTGATTTTATTGTGAATGAACCTGTCGAAAGCGATCCGAAAATGCTGATTGTTTAGTACACTGAGAGGTTTTCGAATCATCAAAATGATAAGATATTGAGTAATAAATGGCTGAACGTCGCATGCACTGTGCACATAAATGCGTGTACAGGACTACGCAACCATGTGACATAAAAGTTTGGTCCACATAGTTCACCTTTTTTGCCACGTTTCGAATATGACGCCCATGTTGATTAGTGCTCCCTTTTACACTATGTAGGTTCAAAGAATCAGAGCCTCTTTGTGCAGTGCCAGGAGCCATATCTCTACCACCACGATAAAAGCCATTAGCCGGAGGGGGGAGGAAGGGGGCACAATCCCCCAAGTTTCGTAATAATGAACTGTGCCCCTTTTAAAACATATTCGCGCTCGTTTTCAACACTATCACAACTGTCCCTTCATTTTAATATATTACACTTAACGTTTGTAGCTTCAAACTAACATGACATATTCAACTCAACTGTTAAAAGATGCTTCTGGTATATTTTAAACCCCATTTCTTTTTTTAAACTTCATAATCATAGCTAATGCCAAGCATCAATTGCCATTTGTTGAAGAATATAAAGGTTCAAACAGTTAATGAGTGTTCAAACGCAAATGCTGTTACATTAAAACATGTCTTTCATGTTATAGCGCTGTGTTCTTTTAACACCTCTCAACTCCCTCTAAATAATAGATTTTTCGTAGCCTCCTTTTAAATGCCCCTTATTCAAAGCGACTGACATCATTTTTCTTCTCGAATTTCAACAGAATTCGCTCGTTTCACTCATTTGCATTTATAGTATCTCATTAAGTAAAATATTTAAGGTTTCATCTATTCTTCTATTATAAGATTGTGCTTAAAATTACTTCAGGATTGAGGATTTTATGTAAAAATGATCTAATCAACTTCACATATCTTTACATTTTTGTTTGGTCGCTTCGCTCGCTCGCAAATGAATCTTCAGACAATAACACACAACTGCACAGTATGGTGCTGAAGCAGTATCTCGGACCATTTAAAGAGAAAATGTTGAAGATCATCCCCCATAATGTTTTAATTACAATGTGTATAATTTATATAGGGGTATAGAGCAATGTCTAAACAAAAATAATCTCGCTTTGGGATAACAATTTGTAGGTGCCACCCGTTCCAGAAAGTGCTCATTTTAGTTGTTGCACCTACACTTTGAAAGACGTTTCGCCGCCCATGACATAAGTTAATTTATTTGCTCTTTTTTAGCTGTACCTTTTGACTGCATTATATGGTCTTGGAACAATCTGCCGATACACATGCATGGTAATTATATTATATTTCTTTTTATAAATCAATTATATGATTTATAGATGATGGAGAAACTATGTTGATTGAATTAACCTTTGAATATTATTGTAATGAAAGAGCTATGAATTTGGCCAGAAAACCTGATAAGAGTAATAATGATTGAATACATAATATTGTTTTAACATTATGGGGCAAGCAATTTTATATTTCAATCATTAAGAAGCGTTTGTTATCATCTGATTATGTCAAATAGCTATAAATTTACAGCGCACATAGATAGACATTGTTAAATATAAGCTTGGTCAACAGGGGCGGGTTGATATGTCATGGACTGTGTTAGGTGCGAAATTTTAAGGGAACGTATAACGATGGAGGGGGAAATATATATATAAAGCATGATCGATTGATCTAATTGTTCTCTCTTATAAATATTTCAGATTGCGTTTTTCTTGAATGCTTGCATCCTGTCGGCAATTGCTAGTCTTGGAGCACTTGGATATCACTGCTTTCTAATTTACTACTTTGCGAACAATGGCACTTTTGAGAATTGTGAAATTTTTAATGCTTGTTTGGTAAGAGAAATGATTCTTAAAGAGAAAATTGATTTCTACACACACGCACACACACACACAAGTTTTGAGCCTTTCGTATGTTTCTTCCGATGTGAAAAAATGTCATTGTAGGAAAGTCCCGTGAAAAGATTGTTCTTAAAGGATATTAATATGCCAAATAAATAAATTTATAACCGTGATCACCATAAAACACATTTGCAGACGAGGGACTTTCTATACTTGCTTGTCAGAGTTGATTCCCTGTTTCTTTTTTCAGTTAGAAACGATTCAAATGAAAACAATAGCCCGTCATACTAGTTTGACAATCAAATCAGCACATCATTTGTTTTAATTTGAAGAAATATCATGAAACAATGCTTTTAACCTCAATTATAGACATTTTTCAAATTGCATTAAAAACTATGCTCTCATTTATGTCCGAGCTATTATTGCATTATTGTCAATAGCAAGAATACAAGCTACGTACATTAATTGTTGCTAAACAAACATAATGGCTTGCATTACACTTTACAACATAAAATGCACGATATTTACATTCTGGCAACAGGTGAATGAAATAATTCGCAACAATGAACTTAACGGAGATATATACGAGATCCCAATATGCCATTTTCGTAATATAATCCAATGTAATGCACAGACCTTTGTTAAGTGCCTCGTTACAAATTATTCCATTCACCTGTTACGAATAATTGATTTCATTTGTCAGAATGCGAATTGTTTGTCCTACCTAGCACAATTAGGCTACTGTATTATTCAATTTGCATTCTGACTATCGAAATTCAATTATTCATAACAGGTGAATGACATAATTTATTAATAATAATAATAGTAGTTCAGTTCATGTATAGCGCAAAGATTTATGCATTAAATTTGATTACTTGACTGAAATGGATTTTTGTATTACCTTATGAAAGGAAGCCTAATTTATTTGATTATATCGTCTTTTATTTTCAGTATATCATCGTTCCAATGTGTGTGTTGGTTGTGCTTAGTTTCATGGCGTTTATCAGTGCTCTCGTTGGCTCTATTTATTGTTGCAGGGGTATGTCCTCCCCTCCGCCCTCTACATTGGTAAGGAAACCCAAAAAATAGCCATTGGCAAAATCATCGTAGTGCTATGAGTCCTATTTATTACATTTAATCAAGTGATTTGTTTATATATATATATATATATATATATATATATGTGTATATAACTATATAAACATACTTGCATATATACAATAGAACTCTTTTTTTAAATTATGTACACACACACACATATATATATATATATATATATATATATATATATATAAAAGTGCAAGAATACTCAACTCGGACATGACAATGGGTGTTCCAGAAAATGTAGGCGTGAAGAAAATGGTCTAGGAACGTGAGACGTAGCTGTACGAGCTGTAGCTTACAATTGTATTACAAGCTTTCGGCTTGTGAGGCCTTCTTCAGTTTCTGAAGTGCAAATATATACAGAAACAAATACATTGTATGAACAAATATACATGGCATACAAACTTAATATCACTCAAGCATAGTCATCAAGCATCATGAACGTAGCAAAAATTATTACGAGAAATACTTCGCAATAAACTTAGAAATGATTGTGCGATTTCAAAGTGTTTTACCTTGCTTGTGTGTTGGGATGTCGGTGCTATGTGTGTGTTTATTCAGTTGATGTAATATATGTGTACGTGTAGTAAGGGATGTGCGGTCAAGTGTGGATTACCGAAGAAGGCCTCAGAAGCCGAAAGCTCCTAATAAAATGTTAAAGAACAGCTACGTATCACGTTCCTAGACCATTTTCTTCACGCCTATACAGTGGGAGTCAAAAAAAGTTTACACCTAGAAAATTACTCATTATTTTAAAAATCATCTATAAACAGTAAATTATTATACATCTCATGAAAGGGTGTTTTATCCCGAATCATTAAGTATCACTTTGTGTGGTACATGCTCACGATTGGATGAACAGGAGGAATTGTTTGCGAGGGTGCAAAATCGACTCGCGCCAAAGTTCCTTATGCGATGTTAGCATAAAACAATTGGGTTTTGGGTATTAATGCGGTCCTAGCAGATCCAAATAACATCCCTAACACAATTAATCATGCCACACACATAAAATATCGAACATCAAATATCAACGCACATTTATGTGCGTGTGTGTTTGTGTATGTGACTTTGCTTCTGCAAAAAGCATATGCAATGCATTCAGTTGATAAATTCAATTAATTCTCTCACTCCGCTAATCCCAACATAATACCTACTGTAGGCATCACTTTGGCGCAAGTCGATTTTTGCACTCTCGCAAACAATGCCGCCTGTTCATCCAAGCGTCAACACATACCACACAAAAATGACACCAAATGATTTGGGATAAAACCCTCTATTTACAAGTATAATAATTTACTGTTCATAGATGATTTTTAAACTAATGAGCAATTTTCTAGGTGTAAACTGATTTGAATGAGAGAATCACCCGGTTTTATTATTTTGTTGATTGTTAACGTTTATTGTTCTTGTATCTTTTCTTTAGATGGTAACCCAGCCCGCTACTGTGTACGCCCAGCCCCCTCAAAATCAACAGGCTTATGCCTACTAAGTACTACCAACAATAATTTTGAACGTGCCTCCAAAAAGAGTACTTTACTGAGGTGGGTTTCAACAGGTTAATATTATAATCAGGTGGGCTGTATCTAATACAGACCACCTTATATTTTTGTTAAAATCGCCTTTATTATTTATTATTTATCAGGTGGGCTGTATAACGTACAGACCACCTTATAATTTCGTTAGAATTGCCTTTATTTATTTATTATTTATCAGGAGGGCTGTATAACGTACAGACCACCTTATAATTTCGTTAGAATTGCCTTTATTTATTTATTATTTATTAGGTGGTCTGTCGATGACAGATCACCTATTGATTTCGTTAGAATTTTCTTTCTTTATTCTTTATTCTTTATTCTTTATTCTTTCTTTATTTATTAGGTGGTCTGTCGATGACAGATCACCTATTGATTTCGTTAGAATTTTCTTTCTTTATTCTTTATTCTTTATTCTTTATTCTTTCTTTATTAGGTGGTCTGTCGATGACAGATCACCTATTGATTTCGTTAGAATTTTCTTTCTTTATTCTTTATTCTTTATTCTTTCTTTATTAGGTGGTCTGTCGATGACAGATCACCTATTGATTTCGTTAGAATTTTCTTTCTTTATTCTTTATTCTTTATTCTTTCTTTATTTATTTTTATTTATTCCGTACACTTTTTTTGTGTATACGTTTACTCGAACTCGACCTGGTCAATTTCCTTCAAATTTCTGCTAGTCATCAGGCCCTATGATATGAAGTTCCCGAAACCTTTTTCAAGTTCATGGGGTCATCGTGACGTCATCCAGGCGCCATTTTGTAAAAATCAGGTCATTATCATATCTCAATAACGAGTAATCAAAAATAAACCATATTTAGTATACATCAACTTCCGGTCAAAGGTCAACTAAAAATGTCAACAAAATCCGTGCGCGCACCTCGACGCGCACGTACGCCCGCTTAAAATTTTTAAAATGCTCCAATTCGTCCCAAATTTTGTTTGCACACGTTTCAGGTCATTTTAAGCATTTCAAAATTTTCCGTCCGTAAGTGTCCCCGCGCGCGTTGCGCGCGCTCACAGCGCGCGTAAAAAGTCAAATTTAATTTTTTTTACATGATTTAGATTCCTCTTACCGTAAATGACAATTTACATTAATTTCAGTCACTCTTGACCTTTCATAAGGCCGTGAGCGCGCGTCAAAGTTCAAAATCCGCGCGTGCTGCTATGGGCAATATAATGCAAATTTGATCAAAAACATGCCATTTTAAAAATCAAAATAGCTCTTCAGATAGTCCATTGACCCCCAATTTTTATATCATGGTTGGAAAAAGCATGAGTTGGAGATATGAATTCATGTCTCATTTGATCCTCAATTAACTCATGACGTCATCATAATGGCCTCCGAACTCAAAATTTCAATTTGCATATTATGACGTCAGCAGATTTCTGGAAAATAGACTGTATCTCTGTCAATATTGATCAATTTTCTTTCAAATTTTGATATGATCTAGCTGAGACAATTCTCTACAAATGCAGTCACCACGATATTTCATTTTGACAAAGGCATCATGGCGTATTTTTGCGATTAAAGGAGGCATGTCAATTTTTCACATTTTGCGTGTATTCTCTATGGGACATGACTTTTTCTCAAAACTGGATTCTACTTCCTGTCTTTTGCGAGCAATATCTCCGTCGTTTTAGCTTTGTTTACGCTGAACTTTGAGTATGTTGTAGCTGAGACAATAAGCTATCACAAGTGTGCCCTTTATTTTTCGATCAGATGCCGGGATCATGCTCATATTTCAATTACAAAGTGGGATTTGTGCATTCCATTTTCCGTTTACGTGTAATCTCTATGGGAAATGTTTTGGTACATCGGTAACGCACTTGACTTCCGACCTCGAGGTCCCTGGTTCGAGTCCGGGCGTCTCCAACAATTTTTTTTTCTTCACTTTTTTTTCTTTTTGACCATTCACTCTACCATCTCCTTTGAATATTAAAACACGTACAATCGCAAATAATGTAATAAACAACCATATTTACTTTATTATTACCCTATTATCACTAGATCCATTACTTTTTGCGTGTAATCCTTATGGGAGATGACTTTTTCTCAAATCTGGATTCTACATTTTTGTCTTTTGCGAGCAATATCGCCGTTATTTCGGCTTGATTTTTGTTGATTTTTGAGTATGTTGTAGCTGAGACTATGTACTATCTAAATGTTCTCTAATTTTTTTCAGTCTGATGTCATCGTGGTCTGTTGATGATAATCATCAACATCATCATGATCATCATCATCATCATCATCGTCAATCCCCATTACTATCAAGATCATCATCATCATCATCGTTGTTTACATGTCTATATAACTTCTCCCTTTCTCAATATAGTAAATATTATAATACATTATAAGACTTGAAGACAGACCACCTAATTCGTCCCCATGACGAATTAAATTTCTAGTTTATTTTTATTTCTTCCGTACACTTTTTTTGTGTATACGTTTACTCGAAATCGACTTGGTCAATTTCCTTCAAATTTCTGATAGTCATTAGGCCCTATAATATCAAGTTCCCGAAACCTTTTTCAAGTTCATGGGGTCATCGTGACGTCATCCAGGCGCCATTTTGTAAAAATCAAGTCATTATCATATCTCGATAACGAGTCTTCAAAAATAAACCATATTTGGTATACATCAACTTCAGGTCAAAGTTCAACTAAAAATGTCAACAAAATTTGCGCGCGCACCTCGACGCGCACGTACGCGCGCATTAAAATTTTAAAATGCTCAAATTCGTTCCAAATTTTTTTTGCACACGTTTCAGGCCATTGTAAGCATTTTCAAGATTTTGCGCGAGAGCACTTTTTTGCGCGCGTTTCCGCGCGTAAGTGCGCGTACTGACATTTTACAACATGGAAACGCCAAATTTTCTCTATCATATCAACCACATTTTTCCAAGCATTTTGATACCTTGTTCACCTTTTTCTGACCAGTGATAACGCAATGAGCGTCCGTCAAAGTTTACAGCACACGCGGATCTGCATTATCCCTATCCACATTACATGTGCAAAAACAAGCCTATACAAAATTCATTTTAACTCTTCAGAATGGATAGATACCCCCAATTTTTTTCATATTTAGATAGATCATGAGTCGGAGATATGATTTCATGTCTCATTTGACCCTCAATTAACTCATGACGTCATCATAATGGCCTCCGAACTTAAATTTTCAATTTGCATATTATGACGTTAGCATATTTTTGGAAAATTGATTGTATCTCTGTAAATATTGATCAATTTTCTATCAAATTTTGATATGTTTTAGCTGAGAATATTCTCTACGAATGTATTCTACACGATATTTCATTTGAACAATGGCATCATGGCGTATTTTTGCGATTAAAGGAGGCATGTCAATTTTTCACATTTTGCGTGTATTCTCTATGGGACATGACTTTTTCTCAAAACTGGTTTCTACATTCTTGTCTTTTGCGAGCAATATCTCCGTCGTTTTATCTTCGTTTACGCTGAGCTTTGAGTATGTTGTAGCTGAGTCAATATGCTATCGTAAGTGTGCCCTTTAATTTTCGATCAGATGCCGGGATCATGCTCATATTTCACTTACAAAGTGGGATTTGATAATTCCATTTTCCGTTTACGTGTAATCTCTATAGGAAATATTTTGGTACATCGGTAACGCACTTGACTTCCGACCTCGAGGTCCCTGGTTCGAGTCCGGGCGTCTCCAACAATTTTTTTCTTCACTTTTTTTTTCTTTTTGACCTTTCACTGTACCTTTTCCTTTGCTTATTAAAACACGTAGAATCACAAATAATGTTATAAACAACCATGTTTACTTTATTATTCCCCTATTATCACTTGATCCATTACTTTTTGAGTGTAGTCCCTATGGGAGATGACTTTTTCTCAAATCTGGATTCTACATTCCTGTCTTTTGCGAGCAATATCGCCGTTATTTCCGTTTGGTTTTTGTTGATTTTGGAGTATGTTGTAGCTGAGACTATATGCTATCTAAATGTTCCCTCATTTTTTTCAATCAGATGTCATCATGTTCTGTTGATGATCAACATCAACATCATCATGATCATCATCATCATCATCAACATCGTCATCACCATTACTATCAAGATCATCATCATCATGATCATCATGATGATCATCATTGTTTACATGTCTATATAACTTCTCCCTTTCTCAATATAGTAAGTATTATAATCTATCATAAGACTTGAAGACAGACCACCTTAATCGTCCTCGTGACGATTTAAATTCTAGTTTATTTTTATTTCTTCCGTACACTTTTTTTGTGTATACGTTTACTCGAAATCGACTTGGTCAAATTCCTTCAAATTTCTGATAGTCATTAGGCCCTATAATATCAAGTTCCCGAAACCTTTTTCAAGTGCATGGGGTCATCGTGACGTCATCCAGGCGCCATTTTGTAAAAATCAAGTCATTATCATATCTCGATAACGAGTCTTCAAAAATAAACCATATTTGGTATACATCAACTTCAGGTCAAAGTTCAACTAAAAATGTCAACAAAATTTGCGCGCGCACCTCGACGCGCACGTACGCGCGCATTAAAATTTTAAAATGCTCAAATTCGTTCCAAATTTTTTTTGCACACGTTTCAGGCAATTGTAAGCATTTTCAAGATTTTGCGCGAGAGCACTTTTTTGCGCGCGTTTCCGCGCGTAAGTGCGCGTACTGACATTTTACAACATGGAAACGCCAAATTTTCTCTATCATATCAACCACATTTTTCCAAGCATTTTGATACCTTGTTCACCTTTTTCTGACCAGTGATAACGCAATGAGCGTCCGTCAAAGTTTACAGCACACGCGGATCTGCATTATCCCTATCCACATTACATGTGCAAAAACAAGCCTATACAAAATTCATTTTAACTCTTCAGAATGGATAGATACCCCCAATTTTTTTCATATTTAGATAGATCATGAGTCGGAGATATGATTTCATGTCTC